ACGTACTCTGTTCTTACCGATCAACAGGACAAAGCAAGCTCCAGCAAACAGAAGTTGGAAGGTAACAAGATGACCTGAAGGATTTTCTAACAAATTCAACAAAAGAAACTCTTAACAAAGAAAAGTGCTGAACTATGAAGTTGTTGTTGTTGTTATGTGTTGTCGAGTCGTTTGTGACTCATAGCGACCCTATGTACAACAGCCCTAAACCATGTTCTATCCCGTGCCAATCTCATTGCCTCTGACACACCCAACCCGATTACCCCAGTCACTGAATCAATCCACCTCATAGAGGGTCTTCCCCTGCTGCGCTGTTCCTCTACTCTACCCAGCATGATGTCCCTCTCTAAAGACCTGTCTCTCCTTGCAACATGTCCAAAGTATGTCAGGCAAAGCCCCAGAATCCTTGCCTCCAAGGAGCAGCTTGGTTTAACCCTCTCTCGGATGAATCTGTTTGTTTTCTTGGCAGTCCATGGTACATTCGATACTCTTCTCCAGCACCACAGCTCAAAGGCGTCAATTCTCCTTCTATCCTCCCTAGTCATTGTCCAACTCTCTGATGCATAACAAGTGACTGCAAAAACCATGGCCTGGATCAGGCGCTCTTTAGTCTCCAGAGAGACACCGTTGCTCTTGAGTACTTTAGAGAGGTCCCTAACCACAGACTTTCCCATTACAATACGTTTTTTGATTTCCTGGCTACTGGTGCCAAGAGTGTTGACCGTGGAGCCGAGCAAACTGAAGCTGTGAACACTCTCAGTCTCTTCGCCATCTATCCTGATGCTACCAATTGGTCCAGTGGTGAGAATTTTTGTCTTCTTGACATTGAGCCTCAGTCCATACTGAAGGCTGCAGTCCTTGACCCTCTGCAGTAAGTGCATGAGGTCCTTCTCAGTTTTAGCAAGCACGGTTGTGTCATCTGCATAACGCAGATTGTTGATAGATCGTCCACCAATCCTAACGCCATGCTTCTCCTCATAGAGCCCAGCCTCTCGGATAATCTGCTCTGCATACAGTGAACACATAATACTGAGCCACATTTACACTGAGATGGGATAACCAATGTCTATATCAAAATCCTGCAGCAAGGACTGACTTGGTGGCTGGAGAAAAAGAGTGAGCACATCCTGAAGGTCTGGAAGATGTATGTATGGTGAGTGGAAGGACATATGATTGACTCACAGGGGCAGTGAAGGTTCAGAGGTAAAATTCTCAGCAGGAGACCCTAGGAAGCTCTGGTGACCTAGTGGTAAGAAACTGAACTGCAATCCCAAAGACACATGGTTCAAATCTACCAGCTGATCTGCAAGCGAAGGATGGACAATCTCCTCCTGTGCGATTGATTAACTGCTTCTGAAAACCTGCTGGAAGGTCAGCTATATGTTGATCCCGACTCAACAACACACAATGACAACAACATGTAAGGGACCCTAAGAAGTTCTAGCGGTGTAGTTTATACGGAGTTGCACTGCAAACTCAAAAGGCAGTTCAAGTCCACCAGCGGCTCCATGGAAGAAAGATGGGCAATTTCCTCCCACACAATTTTCAGCTTTAGAAATCTGACAGAGGGTCAGTTATGAGTTGATTCTGACTTGATGACAGCAACTGGTGAATGATGCACGGGGCCCAACTACTATACCTCATGCACAAGCACCATTCATCAGTGGAAGTCTCTGTATTGCTAAGGTCAGATTTCACTGCACTCGAGTTGGTTTTCAGAGGCTGTAAATTACACGAGTGAGAGTGTTCATCTTCAGTAAAATAGATCAGACTAAGAGGAACTAGGAAGAAAAGACCTGGTGATTTATATTTTAAAAATTAGCCATTGTAGATTCCGTGGATCACACAAGTTTGATCAGCAACCTATCATGGGAAAGGTGCAGAATCAGACAGCATTTTGTTCTGCTGGGAATGGGGCTGCTTTGAGTTGGGGGCTGACTCCATGCCCACTAACAGCACTGACTGGTTCTGTCCAGTAAGAGGGACATCCCTGTCCCAATGGGAACAGAAAATGTACCTGGATAGAAGCTCTTCTGAGCCAGCACAGGCTGACCTCGCTTCGGCTTCAATGCCTTCAATGCCTGTCACATCCCAAGAGGCCTCTGGAGCCCGGGTGTGTGGGTGCTGGCATTTTGTGTTTTGTTTACTGAGCATCCAATCTGGCCCACATATGGCAGAAGAGCAACTTCTCTGATGGATTTCCCTACGCTGCCCAGTTGGAGAGAACAGATGCTGCAGGTCAGGCCAGCAGCCATAAATTTCCAGGAAATAACTCTTAGTGACTGAGGAAGAAAGCCATAAAATACTGGGGAGGCGGGAACTGGAGGAAACAATGGCAGCGGACAGCAGACAGGATTACTGCTAAATGCCAGGAGGGGCCCATGGATCATTCCCTTGGCTTGTGTGCTGCTCTCCGAGCCAGCGCTGGACACGCTCCCCAGTGTGGGGAGGGCACACGGGGCCCTCGCCTGGGGTGCTTCCCCTTCCTCTACTGTGTTCCATTTGCTCAATAAATGAGGATCCCAGAGTGACAGGCACTGCTCTCTATATATTAGGGATGGAGTTGTGAATAAATCTATCCCTCGTGGTGCTTGCATTCTAGTAATTTCTTGGGCCCTATCTGCTCTGGGGAAGGTGACTGGCACTTTTGAGGCCTCACTGGAGCTCTGGGGGGCATCGGCTCTAGCAAGCTGTGCTGCTATCCAATTGCTGCATACCTTCTGTGGCTTGAATCTACTAATCCGTTCCAAGGGAGAAAGAAGGGCCTTCTCTGTCATCACTTAGAACTCTGAAGTCCATCGGAGGGTCATTAGATAAGGAACTGACTTGCACCAAGTGAGTCTGAGTTCATTTTGATCTCAACAGATTTTAAAACTTCTCGCCCCTGTCCTCCCCATTTTTGTTGTTTCATGCTGTCAAATGGGAACTGATTCATACTTGGTCCACCAGCAGGTTGTCAGATGCAGTACATTGCACAGCAGGTGGAAAAATGCTCATCCGTCTCCCGCAGAGCAATCAGTGGATTCAAACTGCCAGCCTTTGTGACTGCAGCGCAGCTTCTTATTACTAGGTCACCAGAGCGATGCCCTTCCACTAGACCCACGAACTGAGATTATTACCTCCACATCACAATTTTCAAGCAAGAGGAAAATGAAGGTCTTTCTGTATCACCAGATAGAATGGGTCTTTCTGACAAGATAGAACGAGTGTTCTTGATTATAACCTTTCTCCTATGCTACAAATTTCATCCCACAGCCACTGTGGCCAGGCCCAATTATTGGTTTGCGTTGCTTCTGACTCTGTAATCCAATCCCTCCATCCTCACTCCCCCTCCTGCACTAAAAGATAAGGACAAGATATCCCACAGACTGGGAAAGAATATTTGGGAATGACATGTTAGATAAGGGACTAATATCTAAAATGTATAGAATACTCAAGCATCACAACAAGATAAAGGTAAACAATCCAACTGCAAAATGGGCACAGGATAGAAAAAGATACTTCGCCAAAGTAGACAATCAGATGGCCAACAAAAGCATGAAGAAATATTAAAAATTCCTAGCTGTAATAGAGATGAAATCAAAACAACTGTGAGATAACATTTCACCCCAGTAAGAATAGCAAAATTCAACAGAACAGCAAACAACAAATGCAGGTGAGGTTGTGGAGAAACTGGACCCTTATTGACTGTTGGTGGGAGTGTAAAATGGTGCAACCACTATGGAAAGCGGTGTGGTGCTTTCTCAAAAAGTTGGAAATAGAAATACCATTTGACCCAACAATTCCACTACTGGGAATATACCCTAAAGAAACCATAACTGCCACCCAAGCAGATATATGCACATCCATGTCTATTGCAGCTTTGTTCATAATAGCAAAGATATGGAAACAACCCAAGTGCCCATCAACAAATGAATGGATACAGAAGCTGTGGTATATTCACACAGTGGAATTCTATGCAGCAGTGGAAAACACAGATCTCATAAAATATGATACAAAATGGATGACCCTGGAGGACATTATGCTGAGTGAAATATTTCCATCACAAAATGACAAATACTGCATAATGCCACTGTTATAAAAGAGACTGACATGGGGGTTGGGGGAAAAACTAAAAAAAGGGGGGATAAGTAATGTACACTGCATTGAAACAGAGGAGGAAAAGAAGTGCTTAAAAGAAATATACGATTAGGTATTATTTTCATGACAACAGTCCAGAATAAGAGCTGCATAGTAAAGTAGACTGGGGAAATACAGTCCAATGAAAGGTTTATTTTTTTTTTCTTAAAGAAAAACGAACTGGAGCGGGAGATGGGTAGGGAGGAAAATGTGCAACAATGAATGAATGAAAATCCAAGTTCTCTATAAACTTTCATTAAAAAATAAAGAAAAAAGCAAACTGGGGTGGGGTAGGGAGAAAAATGTGCAACAAGGAATAAAAAGAAATCCAAGTTGTCTTTAAACTTTTGTTAAAATATCGGTAAAAAAATAAAGTTAAAAAAATGTAAAGATGTAAAAAGTAAATAAAAAAGATATCTCTAAGGCTTCTCTGGCAATTAACAGAGAGCCTCCTCATTAGCAAGGCTAAATGTAAGCTTCTTAGCTGCTGCCCCAATGGACAATGCATCACCAGGGTTGCTGTTCCTCCTGGTCTTCTGCCAACTCCAAACCCAAAGGCCAGAGGCCTCATTCAAGCTCGCCCTAGGTCCTCTGGACCTGGTGTTACTACTTGTCTCCCTGGCCTTTGTATCTCAGCTTTCCCTGGTGTTCAGCAACCAACTTCTCAACCAATTTAGCCTTTCAGCAGAGGGGTGGAAAGGGAACCCATCTCTGGCCCTATTCTAATAATAGGTGTCTCTGTCAGTCCAATGACAGGTCTAAAAACACAGGGCAGAGTGCTCTGCAGTGGCAGGTGGGATGATGTAGGATTGGAAGGCAGCTGTGAGCACCACTACACCACCAACACAAGGATGGTACAGGATGTCTAGCGCAGGACTCACCAAAGTTCTCCCCACCCCAGATGTCCATTTCCGTATCGTACTTCCCCAGGTAGTTGAACCAATTTTTGTCAATCACGAAGAGTCCTCCTGCTATGATTGGAGTCCTGTGCATTTGGAAGAAAAAGTGGGAGAATCAGTTATGGGAGGGGGACCATGCTCAAATTCTTCAGCACTATAGTCTAGAACTTAAGGCCATTTGCCTCCTATTCCCATTCCTCTTCAAGAAGGGCCCATACAACTTCTAGTTACCTAAACAAGAACATGCTTATAGAGTGTTCTTCCTTTGATGTGAATTCAAACCTTGCAAACAGGCTAACTCAGTCACCAGCACACCTTCCATAGGAAGGTGGGGATCACTCAGGACCACAGCAGTTCTGCGGGACTCATCTGTCTCACACATTTTAGGCATGCTGTCAGGAGGGGCCAGTCCTGGGCTAAAGACATCATGCTGGAAAAGGTCGAGGGCCAGCAAGAGTGAGGAAGATTCTCAATGAACTGGACTGATTAAGAACAAGCGCTTGACCATGAGAATGGTACAGGACAGGGAAAGGTTCAGATCTGCTGTTCACAGGGGCACTGTGAGTTTTAGCCAACTTGATGGCACCTACCAACAACATCAACAACAAACAGCTTTACTATGCAACACTATCCTTCTCCAGGGATTGACTGCTTCTGGTAATGTGCCCAAAGGAGATGAAATGAAATTGCACCATATTCTAAGGAATATTCTGGCTGTACTTTTCCAAGACAGAGTTGTTCCTTCTCTTGGTAATCCATGGTAGACACTCAGTACTCTTCACTGATATCCATTCAAATGCATCAAATTTTCTTCAGTCTTTATTCGTTTCCCACATATATGAATGAGGTGATGAAAAAGACCATGGCTTTGCATCAATACCCCTTAATCATCAAAGTGCTATCTTTGCTCTTTAACACTACCAAAAAAAAAAAGGTCGGGGGGAGGGATTGTATAACAATGAAAGAATTTTTCGTTTAGTTTTCAAAGAGAAGAACGATTGGGGGGTGGAGGGGTGGGGAGGGAAAAAAGTGCAACAATAAATGAATGGAAATCCAAAGTCTCTGTAAATTTTCATTAAAATTAATAATAATTAAAAAAGGTCATTTTTGGCAGATTTCCCCAATGCAGTGCTATTTGATTTCCTGACTGTTGCCTCCATAGTGTTGCTGATTATGGAGCCAAGGAAAATGAAATACTCGACAATTTCAATCTTTTCTCTGTTTCTCACGATGTTGCTTATTTGCTCATTTATGAAGCATTTTTTGTTTTCTTCATGTTAAGGTGGAATTTATACTGAAAACTGTAGTCACTGATCTTCTTTGGGAAGGGCTTCAAGTGCCTTTAGGTTTTGGCAAGCAAGGTTGTAGCATCTGCATATCCCAGGTTGTTGGTGAGTCTTCCCACAATCCTCATGCCACATTCTTATTCATATATTCCAGCTTCTCAAATTATTTGCTCCATGTACAGATCCAATAGGTGTGGTGAATGATACACCTTAACTGATAAGACACCTCTTTTAATTTAAAACCGGTGCGCCCTTGTTCTTTTCAAATAGCCATCACTAGTTGTACGCATAGGCTACTTAAGAGCAGTTAACTGTTCTGCAGTTTCCATTTTTCTCAATGAGATCCAATACTTTGAATAATTCTAGGCATTCTTAAATCACTGAGGTAAGAATGCCCAGCTCAATGGCATTTTCAATAACTCTTCAGGCATTTTCCTTATTCTTCTGATACTTGTGTGAGACAGACAGGATTTTAATTATATTGTTTTCTATAAGCCTGAAAATGCCTGCCATCCATTCTACTTAAGTAGGAACTCAAGGTCACACACTTTTGATGTGACGCCATACGTGTTTTTGCAGGTAAACCTCTGTCCCCTATTGCACACTACACCTCAAATTATTACACCTTGAGATAGATCTGAGCCTCATGTAACCATCTTATTATATACTGTGGGCTGCAATCAGACTGGGAGAGAGAATACAGGTAAAGAAAAAGTCATTGCCAGCACTGGGAAAGCAGTATAGTGTTTAAATCTCCAAGCAAGTTCTGGTACTGACAGGAGTAGTGGGTGTATATTAACTTGCAACAGTGGCCATATTTGATGATATTATAGCAGCCCTTCCTGGGCTATATTCTTATATATAAGACCAGAGTGCCCAGTCTCTGGTCCTAAGTGATAATGTTTTTTATTACCAGAGGTCCAAATCAGGTCATCTGAGACTTCCCAGTATTTAGCAAGAAGCCTATGAACACTGGGTTCCAATAGACCCCTACTTCCTTAGCTAAACTTCCCACAGTGACTGAGTCTTCTTAACATAAAGGAAAATGTGGGTATAGCCTGACAAAGGACACTCTTCATCTTTCCCCAGTGTTCTAAGCATCTAATACAGAACATCTCCCCAGACTACAAGACAGGAGGGGAGGACTTAGAGACACTAAGTCTTAGTCCCCAGTTAGTATTGACCCTTTCTACTTACCTAATGGGCTCAGTGGGGTCTAGACGCCGAGCCCTCTGCTCTGGGGAGAGCTGTTCCCATTGGAAGTGGAGGCTCCAGTCAAACCCTAAAACACAGTACAGGCTTGGTCACCGTGGTCTCCCGGAGCTTCTGAAAGTTCACGCACGTGCTTGGGCTCCAGGGGAGCTGGTCCCAGAGATAACCGGCCTCATGGAGGCTGGTAAGGAATGTGACTGCCAAATTTTGATGGCCTTCATTTTATCCGACTCCAACACCCTCTTTCTGCAGAGACCAAGGCAGGGTCTACAGATAAGATGAACAATTTTGGAACGTGAATGAGCTCCTCAGTCATGAGCCTCTTGAAGAGTTTCTTTTTGTGGGGGTCTAGCTGATCTGACTCTCCTAAAAATGATCTTCAGTTGGGAACAGCCAAGGTGGAGACCGAGGTGCCAAAATTATGTGTATGCCAGGTAGTAGAGGAGTCTCCAATCTGGATGAGAGCTGACTCCCTAGCCCTTTATTTTCACAGTCACAAGAGCAAGGGGACAAGTCAGAGTGAAAAACATTGCATGATGCAGTGCTGAGCACTCCAGACAAACCACGAAGATCAATCACATTCCTTTATAAAAGCAATGTCCAGGAAAAAAGAAAGTCCTTAATAGGGAGAAGCATTTAGCCTTACTCACCCCCTCTCAGCTCCGAGGCAGACTCTATGTAGTTAAATGTATCCAGGTTGATGATGTCAATCACTGGGCAGACCACCCGGGTATAGTCCTGCAAGACAACAGATGCTATTTTTGGTCTGTGGTGTCTCATAGCCTGCCTCAGAGTTCAGGGCCTTGGGAGGGCCTCACCCAAGAAGCACTAGGTTTGGGCTTTGACTGAGCACTTTCATTTTTAAATATCAATTTTCTTGTCTACAAAATGGAGCACTAACATAACCTATCTAGCTCCCATGCCTAAAATACAAAGTTCATCCTTCACTTCAGACTCAGTTCTAACGATCGTCCAACTCTCCTGGCTGGAGGCTGTTGCACACTGAGAAAGAGGAAATGAGGAAGACTGCCTAGAGGTCCTTTTACATCAGCAGGATTCTGGAGAAGCTGAAGACACAGCTTGGCAGGAGACCCTGAGCCCACAAACCAAGAAGAAAAGAACACACATGTCCATAGTGAGAACATCTTGAAATTTATGAATACTTTCACTCTTGGGGGAGGAAAAAGCATCCTGCTAGATCTATAGTGTATGAGCAGTTGATGAATGGTATCTTCAGCGATTCTCAACTTCACTTGTTGCCTGTACATGCATATCCTCAGATCTGTATCTTGAGTTTTGATTTCCCAACAATATTCCAGACTCAGCCTCAGTATACCACTGGCCATATTTATGTGGATTCCACATCTTTTGAATGGCCTGGAAATAATACTATGTTCCCTAAGTTCTCCACTTCTGTTAATGGAAATAACACACACCCTTCCCATGCCAACATTAAGTTAAGAAGCTCCATCCCCGCTCATTAACTGCAACAAGTGCTGCTGATGCTAAAGTTTCTCCTTGGAATGCCTCCTTCATCCCCTCATGCCTGGAATCCTGCAGAAAACTACATCCACCTCCCTTCCACCTAGCGCATCTTTCTCCTCTTTCATTCTACACAAGTCTGTCAAAGTTGTCTTTTTGATAAGCAGCTCTGCCTCTGCCACTCAGCTTCTAAAAACATCAGTTACATAGAAGATAAAGCTCCTATTCCTTCACTTGGCTTCTAAGATCATCAAAACAGAGATGCACGTGGTCCTCCCTAGCCTACCTAAGGATTCTCTAATTAAGCCAATTATGCCCAGAAAATATTTCTGTGGGTTGGGAAGCATACTTAAGTGGTCGAAATAATTCATCATAGGCTAAGTTGTTATTATATACCATGGAGACAGAAATGATCCATGCAGACCCTCCGGTAGGTTTTCAGAGGCAATAAATTACAGGACAGGAGACTGCTTATGTTCTTTCCATAGAGCAGCATGTGCCTTTGAGTTGGTGGCACAACTCCTAGGAAATGGAAATACTATTGTTTGGATTATTGTTGTTGTTATGTTCTGTTGAGTCACCTGTGACCCATAGCACCCCTATGTACAGCAGCTCTGAAGCATGCCTGTCTCACTGATTCTGACATACCAACCCCCATTGCCCCAGTTACTGTATCAATCCATCTCATCCGGGGTCTTCCTCTCTTGTGCTGTCCTTCCACTCTTCTGAGCATGATGTCCTTCTCCAAGGATTGGTCCCTCCTGATCACATGCCCAAAGTATTTGAGATGGAGCTTCAAAATCCTAGCCTCCAAGGAGAGACTTGGTTTCACCCTTTCCAAGACAAACCTAATTTTTGGCAGTCCATAGTATGTTCAAGACTCTTTTCCAGTACCACAACTCAAAGACATTGGTTCTTCTTCTGTCATACCCAAGTATGACATCATTGTCCAGCTCTCTGATACATAGCAAATAACTGCCAAGACCCTGGCCTGGATTAGATGCACCTTAGTCTCTAGGCTGCCATCTTTGCTTTTCAGTACTCTGGAGAGGTCCCTGATAGCAGGTTTCCCTAATGCAATTTGTCTTTTGATTTCCTAACTGGTGGTGCCAAGAGTGTTGATTGTTGAGCTGAGGACACTGTAATTGTTAACAACTTCAATCTCTTCTCCATCTTTCATGGTGCTGCAGTTGGCCCAGTGGTGAGAATCTTTGTCTTCTTGATGTTGAGCTTCAATCCATATTGAAGACTACAGTCTTTGACTTTCTGTAGCAAGTGCTTTGGGTCCTCTTCAGTTTCAGCAAGCAAGGTTGCATCATCTACATAACACAGATTGTTGATGAGTCTTCCTCCAATCCTGATGCCACATTCCTTCTCATAAAGCCCAGCCTCCTGAATGATTTGTTCTGCATTTAGATTGAAAAGGTATGAAGACAGAATGGATCCCTGATGCACACCTTTCTTGATTTTTGAACCATGCAGTATTTCCTTACTTGTTTGGATTATATTCAGTATTAAAACTAAAATAGATGTCATTTATAGAATAATCATAGATTGTATGAAAATGCTTTAAATTGAACATCATTGGATTTTGGTGTTTGTAGAGGTCCTGGAATATCTATCTATCCATCTATCTATCTTACAAATATATACCTATCCATGATTAAATATTAGTCAGCAAAACAAAAGGTTGGCAGTTCAAACTCCAACCTGTAGGAGACAGACTTGGCAATCTGCAAAGATTCAGACTCAATGCATTGCCATTGGGCTGCAAGAGACTCACAGTGGGCTCTCCATTAAGTTTTCAAGAGTGTAAATCTCGTGGGAGGAAAATGCTCATCTTTCTCCTGAGGACTGGTGGTGGATTTGAATCAGGGGGAATTCTATTCTATTGCATGAGGTGGGCTATGAATCAAGGTCAGTTCCACACTCGTTAACAATAACAACAACCTCAAAGCTGGCATTTTCAATCCATCAGTAGGCACTGGCAATTAATGTGCAAAAGAAGCAGCCATTCAAAACCCCATGGAGCCAAGTTCCACTGACATACATGGTTTAACTATGAGTTGGAGTAGACTGGACAAAAATCTTCTCTTTACTATGCTTTAGGAAGTCAAGAGTGTTTTAAGAGATCTTGGGTATGTGATCTGCAGGGCATTCACTCTCCTATCTACCGATATAACATTTCCCCTTCCTGGGTGAACACTCCTGATCTTGACATGCAGGGAAGGAATAACCGGGATTTGGTGGGTAGCGTAGACCATTTGAGAACAAGGAGACTATTGGGTGGTGGCTCATGTGGACCCATGTGGCCTGGAAGAGCCAGCAGGACTCAGGGAGCCAACAAGGCAAGCTTCCCTAGCCACAGTCCTCCCTCCCACCTCTGGTCAGCTCACACAGGGACCTCTGTTTCTCCTTGAAGCCATTTAATTTCCTGGTTTAATTTCTTCCCCAAATGAGGCTGTCTTCTTATTTTAAGCTCTACCAAATGCCTGATTTTAAGCTCACAGACTTAATTCAGCCCTCAGTCTTCCACATGTGACCCTTTCTGACAGTTACGAGGTGCCTCTGAAAACCAATTGGCCCCCTTGGAAAGCAGTGCTCATTTCCAATGCACTGCTTCTACCGCTGGGACACACACAGGTGCTTCATTCACAGTCGGCACAGCATCTGCCCAGCTGTCACCTTTCTTCTGGGCCCCCCTCTCAGGCCACCGTTAGCATGGTCTGTGTGTATAGATACAGCACATGCTCACACACAGCTCGCTGACGCATATGCCAACACACAGGCACACCTCCAAAGGCACATCTGCAACTTGAATCCTGAAAGGTTCTTAGTAGTTCAGAGACTGTCCTTCTGAGGGCCTCAAAAGTTTTCATGTTGTCTCTGCATGTTGGCGTTTGGGGACCTCTGCAGTGGTACCAAGTCCTTGCATAAACACTATTTTGCTTTTACATTTAAAATCTTTCTTTAGTACTTCGGAACTGAACGGAAGACTCGGAGCCATGCATGGCTTTGTCTTAGGGCTCTGACAGCTTCAGTGCACTCTCCCTACAAGGTTCTATTATTCCTGTCACAATTCCATTATGTCATCTGCTTGGCTCTTTCATGGACACCAGCCAGGCATCAAGGTAGGGTTATTTGAGGTTAAATGCTATGTGAAACCCTGACCTTGAAAAGGGACTGCAGAGGACTTTATAAATGACCATCAAAGTCATGTCAGGCACTGACTGTCTTAAGAGGATGCATACTGCTCACTCTCCTATCCCACGGTCTCCATCCAGAGCATGGTGGGCAGCAGGTGTTCAATCAGCTGGCTAAGAGAGGGTGTGTGCTAACTCCATCTCGGGATTCTATGTCAGTGGCTGTAGAAGGAAGGTGGGTCAATTACAGATGTACAAGGTGTCTTCTCCTTTTGCAGGCTCAGGGCTTGAAGGACAGCCCCTCAAAATATGTGCCAGCTTGGGTAATCCAGGACTCCCAGGATTGTGGGGTTATCCTCTACTTTGGGATGTGCTGCAAATCTTAATTTCACCAGATGGTTAACGAGGCAGAATTAAGAATTACAGAAGATTTAATTGTGTTCATGTGGAACTTTATGCTTATAGGCCAAGAAGCAGTCATTCAAACAGAACAAGGGGACACTACTCTGGATGGTTTAAAATTGGGAAGTGTGTATGTCAGGACTGTATACTCCCCCATACTTACTGAGTCTGCAGGCTAAGAAAATCTGAGAAACTGAACTGTATGAGTAAGGATATGGCATCAGGATTGTAGGAAGACTCATTTACAAACTGCATTATTAAGATGACACAATTTTTCAGAAAACAAAGAAGACTTGGAGCATATATTGTCTAAGCTTAAAGACTACAGTGTTCAGGATACATTATATCTTAACATAATGGAGGAAAAAAAATACAAAAACAAAACAAAACCAAAAAACCTCTCACAACTAGGCCATGAAATAACTTCATTAAAAACAGAAAAGACTGAAATTGCCAAGGATTTAATTTTACTTGGATCCATAGTCAACATTCACGGAAGCAGAGGCCCAAAAATCAAATGATATATCGCATTGAGCAAATCCTCTATGAAGGGTCTCTTTTAAGTCCTTAAGAGCAAACTTGTCACATTAAGAAGTAATGGATTTAAGTAATGGTCTTTTCAATAGTCTCATGTGCATGTTATTGGACAGTGAATAAGGAAGACTGACGAAGAATTGATGCCTTCAGATTGTGGTCTTGGTGAAGAATATT